GTCGAGAGGGATTCGACAATTGAGGAAACAGATTGATGAGGCTAATAGTGCTCTTGCAGCCACCAGGGTGCGTCAGTTCTCGCTTCGGGAGCAGGTGCGATCGTTCACAGCTCTTCAGCTGGAGGTTAATCGACAGGAAAGGAAAAGTAGGGAGCTGCAGCGTCTGGCACAGTTGGCGAGGAAACGTATCAACGCTGCTGAATCGTTGCAGGAGAAAAAAGGGTTTCTGTTTGGTGCGGCAACTGCGCGGTGTGGTGGTGGCATGGATAGGCCATTCTCTTTGGTAAACCTTACCCATCAGAAGAGTTTACTTCAACGAGAGCGAGCTGCACTTAAGGAGGCGATTCGTGCAGCTTCTGTGGAATCGGCTGAGAAGCCGGCCCGCAGTACTCGCAATTTTCGCGTCTTATCACTAGTGCGAGACGCAGAGCGGCGGAGGCTGGAGAGTCATATCGCAATCCTGAAGGCGAGGGAACGACAACTGAGGATGCGAGTGAAGCGGTCGGTTATGCGCGCAAGGAGTATCGTGAAACGAGTTGAAGAGCTTCAAGCAACGATGGCTGAGCCAAACGCGTTGTGCTACTCTGATGAATTGGAATTTTCTGGAAGTTCGTCTTTATTACAAACCCCGAGAGACGGAAGTGACGCGGATAAACCCATCGGGGGGTGCTTTGTCACGGAGTGTCTTGTCTGACGGATTATTATTATTATTGTTGTTATTTATACCTACACTGGAAGACCGGATGAGTAGTATTATATGTAATTCTGTCTCCAGATATCTATGTATGCATTTTAGTGCTTCTGTCTATTTTTTTTTTTTTCCCTCACACACACTCTGTGCGCGTGTGCTTGTTATGTAGTTACAGTACGAGATCTGTTTCCTTTGGGTCTTATTTCTCATGCCAGAGTCTCTGTGAGGCCTCAATTATTATTTATTATTATTATTATTATTTCGGTTTGTTCTGTTTCCAATCATTTTTATAATTTCATGCTTTTTATTTTCTCTGTATTTGTGTACAAGGCTGTTTACGGGGTGTTCTTTGAAGGGGGCCTTTATTTCTTAGGAATGCGAGCGGACACGATGCAGGCTTTTCTTCCTTCTGGGGAAAAGCTGTATTCTTTTCCCGAGCGAGTTGTGAAGGAGGTGAGGGGCATTGCACTAGCCGTCATTCGGTGTTTGTTTTGTCCTATTCTCAAGCGGCATTTGGCTGGCATGCACAGAAGGAGGGTTCTTCAGTTAAGGCGGGGCAGTGGGGAACTGGAGGCGAAGATGTTGCATGCACTGGAGCAGCTTTCTGCCCCTGCGCAACTTGCCCATGCAGTGGACATGGGTGCAGAGCTGGCGCGGGTCTCGTGGGTCATGAAGCAGGTCGCTGCTTCAGCAGACTACCGTGTGTTTACCCAAAGTGAGTTTGTTCAGTACCTTGGGGAGCCTGGCAATGCTGTGGTTGTGTTGCTTGTTGGCAGTGTGACGAGGCGAGTAAGGATGGCAAGAGTGCGGGGTAAGTCCGTGCTCGAGAAAACAATTTTCCGTCCTTTCAGTGCGCCCGGCTCCGTGGTGCAGGGCGATGAGACATCTCAAGTCAGTCGGGCGTCTTCTGCTCTCAGCTTGCGTCGCAGCAGCGTCTCCAGCGTCTATTCAGAGAAGCCATCACAGTGCACTGTGGTTTGCGCCCCCGCTGTGTTTGGTGAATATAACACAGTTGGGGGCTACCCATGGACGGAGTACATCGTGGCGGAGTCTCCACTTGTGGTGACGGCCTCCCTGTCGAAGAATGCATACTGTGGGATTCTTGGAGCTTTTCCAAAGCACATTCAGAAAAAGGTGTTACTTATGGCACTTCAGAGTCGCGAGAAACTTATCCCGCTGTTTGCCCCCATGACCATTGGTCGCATGCGACTCTGCCCACTGCTGACGGATCTCAGTGACGAAAACCTGCTGCATCTTATGGACTATCTCGTTCCGCATGTGAAAGCCGCCGGTATGCAAATTGGTGAACTCAATGCCCCCCAACACATATTTTTCATTCGGCGTGGCACGGTTTATATTCGTCATGAAGAGTTTTTTCTGGCAGACCTGAGCTCCGCTACACAGCCAAAGTGCCGAAGCTTGTTGGTAGAGGGTCATACGTTTGGCGAGCGGCAATGCATTTTCCGCGAGGCGCTGGGGGATACTTTTTACGCTGTAACCAACGTAGACTTGTATGCGCTGCCCTTCTCTGTACTCATTCAGTTTATGAAACAGCAGCCAGACGCCCGTAAGATCATTTATGCCTCTGCGAAGGCAGCGTCGTTGGTGCTGGAAAACGATTATGAGAGGATGCGTTTTGTTCCGTCATCTGTAGAGGAAATGGGCACCGTTTTTTTGGGCTCAGCGCTGATGTCCAAGTTGTTTCATCGACGTGTCAGCATCTCCACGATTAGTTCTAGACGTATCACACCTCTTGCTGCCTTAGCGGCGAATACAGGCAAAATGGACGGTAAAGTGGATCAAAGTGCCTGTGGGGTGTCTCCACACTTTGTTGAGCAAATACGTAAGATTCCATTATTGGACCTTTGCTCACCAGATGACGCCTTTTACGCCGAGTGCGCATCACACTGGAATATGTTTTTGTACGATGCAGGGGAGTACATTGTTCGCCGTGGTGGCGAATGCAATCGTCTGCTTCTGTTCCCACAAGGAGGTGCTGCTGTTGTGTTGAATGAAAAAAACGCTTCGCAATGTCTTGTGGATTCGTCCACACCATTTTTCCGGCAAAACTTCTCACTTGTGCCACGGGAGTGCATCATTGGATACACGTGTGTTCGCAGACACCCCTGGGCACTCAGTGTCATTGCGCTGGAAAACCAGTTGGAGGTGTGGGAGATTAAGCGGGTAAAATTTTTAGAGCTTCTCCGCAAGTACCAGCTGGAGCGGAAGATGCAGGAGATTGTGCTGCAGCTTCTGCAACCGCTCATTTGCCTCCCGAGTCGCTCTACGGTTCTTGACATGCAGCCTCTTTTGGCGCCAGCGCCCAACTCTCTTTGGAGTGAGCACCGCATTCCAAACTTGCATCCCGTGAGCCTCTGCGAACATCTGCGCTTCCCCGTCTGGAAGGAAGGGGATCTCCCACTGGGATCGTACAATTTGAAAATTCGCCGAAGCACTATCTAACGCTTCTGTCGAGCGTTTCACGGGGGGCGGGGCGTGGGGGGTCAGCGAAATTGGATGGCTGTGCTTTTCTTCCAATAGGGAAGTCGGTGGCGGAGAGGATGACGCGAGAAGAGGCGAAGGACAAAACGAGATGGTGAAGTGCGAGGGGAAGGGGAAGGGGATGGGAACGAATGAAGCCCGCTTGCATGCATGGAGGCTGATGGTGGTGTTTCCCCGCCCCTTCATTTTAATTGGCTGCTTTGCTTTGATCCAATGGCTTGCATGGCAAAAATAGCGAGAGTAAAAGTATTGGTTTGCACTTGCGCGTTGTATGCGTGTAGAGACACGCAGGGCTGTTCAAATCACCTCAAATAGAATTAGAGGTCATAGTGAGGCAGGGAAATAAAAGGAAAAAAAAAAAAATCAGAGAAGACGAAAGAGAAAAAAGTGTATATTTTATGCTGTGTGCCTCTGCAAACGAGTGAGTGATTGGGAGGGGAGTCGAGGCAAGAATATTGATAAAATCCAGAAAAAACAAAGTCATTGAGATAAGTTACCAACAGACGGACTAATCGCCACCTTTCCTTTGATTTGATTTGATTTGTTGTTTTTTTTTACTTTTTTTTTTTTTTTTTCCCCACTTTATTTTTTCTGAGGGACGTCCGGGAATAAATGGGGTTTACTGAGAGGGACATGCATTGCGTAGGTGCGGAAGGCGAGACAGAGGTGATAATATATAAATATTTATTTATTTATTTGTTTACGCTGACAGTTGTATCCAGAAAAACAGAGACTTAAAGATCGTATGGATTCTTGATGGAGGGAAGGGGGGTGAGGGGGAAAAGGAAAAGAAATGAGTAAGCGGCTCCGCGCACTCTCTATTTGTATCTCTTTTGACTGCTTTTTTTTTTTTTTTTTAAATTATTATTTGTTGTTGTTGTTGAGATCGTCAAAATGTGAACATAAATAAGAAAAGACGAGGACAAAAGAAAAAAGGAAAAAAAAGGGGAAAAGAAAAATAATAATAACTGCTTCTCTGGTGACTTTCTGGGCCAACTCATTGCGGCGCTGAGTAGTTTGGCACTTTCTCCTCCTTTTATCGGCCCACCACACTGCTGGCAGTGGCGGCGGCGGCGGCGGTAATAATGGAGCGGTCGCATTTCACGGACGACGCTCCACACGTCGTGTCCCATGAAACCATTGACGTTTATTTCTCTCTATTTTTTTTTTTTTTAATTTATTTTTCTTTTTAGGGGTTTTTATTTTGGGGTTTTTCCCTGCTTTTTTTTTTGTTCTCTCGACATTGCTACAGAGGGATCTGCCTGTGCGAGAAGGGCTGTTTATTTGTGCGAGCTGCGGCTTGGCTCTTCACGGAGCTAAAAGTAGTGAGGGATGACGCTGGCGGTTCCACAATGTCTTTTGCGGTTGCTGGAGGACTACACACTGCAGGCGCTGGACGCCGCCCACGATGTCTCTGACGAGTTTGAGGAGGAGTTGACGGACCTGACAAGTCGAGCCATACGCATTCAGGCTGTGTTGCAGCTCATTCGGGAATGTGAGAAAAGTCGTTATGCGACGTCATCTCTGGCGTCATCAAAAGCAATCATGCGGAATACTCCTGAGGCGTTCACACAGTTTGCCCTGCAGGCGTTGGGGCAGATGTCGAGCGAGCTCACCGGGATCCCCGCCACGGGTGCAAGGAAGCCCCAGTTCAATGCACCTTCGTTTGGTTTGCTGCCGATTGGCAGGCCGGTCTCTCTTTCAGAG